TCTGTTACTTATTTTAGTTTTTGTCATTGTTATTGTGATCTTTATTATTACTGGTAATTGCTTCTACCAACAGATCAACAACTGCTCTCCAATTCATTTTAGAGAATAACCTAGGTTTCTGAGACCATGACTTGTCTGAAGTCACATATTACATAATATAACAAGGTGGAAATCTTTCAGCTGTAGGCCCGGTGACAGATTCAGTGTTCACTGTCCAAGAACCAACCTACTTAAGTGAAGAGAGATCCATCACCTTGGGACAAGTCATAAAATAATAACTTTTTTTTGGCTCCAACAGCTCAGGAAGACCTTCTACAGTGGGGAAGGATTTCAATTTTTCAATCAATCTTTATGGGTGGGCTGGTAAAGGGAATGTCCATGCTGATGAAATCATCAATCTTTTGAAGAACTGAAATGATGTGTTTAAAAGGAAGTTAATAATATTTAAGGGTCTTCTTTCAACAAAGTAACTATTTTCAATGTATAAATACGTGTATATATACGATTTAATAATGTAAACTACAAGTGTTTTATTAATCTATAACACTAAATGGAGTTTACAAAGCATGAAGGCACATATGCTCCATTCTCCCTCCAATCCCCCTCCTCACTCAATAACATTGTCTGGCATTTTACTGTTATCCTTAAGAAAGACAGCTGGATTGAGAATTGTGAGCCCTGGGCTCTAATCCCAGCTCTATCCACTAATCTAGCTGCGTGACTTTAGATCAGTCATTTGATCACTCTGTGCCTCAGTTTCCTCACACGTAATGTAAAGGAGATGCTCTCTAGATGAAAGGATCTCTAAGGTCCCTTCTGTCTCTATGTTCTGTGACACTATTAAGTGGTTTCTCACTCTAGGACACTCTTGGGAAGCAGGCTGAGGTCCATTTTATATCTCAAAACTATAAGGCATAGAGGAAGTCATATATAATTTTGCCAGTTAACAGCAGTATAGTAGGAGGAATCCTGCTATAATATCGGAATATCAAGGTGGCTGAGTTCCAATGCCAAGATACTAACGTATTGAGCCTTCAATAGGTAAGAAACAGAAATAATCACTGCTGAAAGAAAAAAAAAAACACAGTACTTCCTTATATCAGTATTGTTTTTATTTCCTTCTACATTTTCATGTTTCATACTCTTTTTAAAAAATGTAAGAAATTAGGTATGTACAAATGCTGCTTTTTAAAAACAGAGAGAGAGGGTTAGGAACTAAACCTTTGATTTGATCATTAGATCATTACAGGGAACCTTCTCTCTTACTAGGGCAGGTCAGCCAATATCTTCTCTGCAATTCCTATTCCTAGAAGGCTGCCTGGCACCCTGAAAGGTTAAGCAATTTGCCCCGGGGTCACACATCCACTAAATGTGTCAGACATTGGACCTGAACTCAGATTTTCCTGGTTCCAAGGCTGCCTATCTATTCATTACACTGTGCTGTGTGTCCATCACTTCTCTTAGTTTTTATTGTTTTTGGGACCTTTGTTATTATTAGTAACCACCTCTACCAACAAAGATCAGCAGCTGCTCTGCAATCAGTCAGAGTTACTGAGGTTACTGAGGCTGTGACTTGTCTTAAGTCACACAGTCAATGTATGTATCAGAGAGGTGTCATTTGAATCCAGGACATCTGAATCCAAAGCTGGCTCTTTCTATCCACTATCTCATTCCGTCTTCTTAATTATTTTTGTATGTTATTAAAATATAATTTTAATGGAAAAGCATTTTCTATTTCCTGTTCAGAATATATTCCAGAAAGCAATAAATACAAAGAATAAAAGAAGTCATATACATGTGGGTGTGTATTAGTGTGTATATGTATATACATACAAATATATACTTTAAAAATATTTTTATAGAAAAGTCTTACCACAAAACATATACATAGACAAAACCAAGGACGGAAAATGATAGCCGAAAAGATCACTAAGTGCATTTTCTGCATGCAAAAGTAAAAATATTCCATACAACCAACAGTCTTTAAGAACCAACAGATTTTAATAGAATAGGACAGAAAAAATTATTTGCCAAACAAAGCTATGGAGGCTTCCTACTAGATAAAAACCATAGTGATGCATCATCCAAACAAAAGCCACCATGTAGGTTAGTAAAGCACGGTATTTCCCTCTCTTCTGGTCAAAGATAAGACCTGTTTAAAAGAATTACAGATAACCATTATTCCAATTCCAATTAGTTTAAAAATTGATAAGTTTAAGAACATATCCTGTGCTTCTATTATTGTTATTATTATCTAAGGTGCCTTTATTTGCAGTTCAATTCACAACTCGATTTTTTGGCAGCTTCAGAAATTAAAAAGGTTTTTTTCCTATAAAAAGCAAAATATCAGGTGCTACAATCAATACAGCAAATTCTTATCTATCTTAGACTCATGTGTACTGTAGTATATGACACAATCATTGCCAAGATCTGTCCTCAATTAAAGTGGTTTCTTTAAAAACTATTAACTTCCCTCTGTACACACTGTAATCCAAAGTAATAATTTAGAAAACTGGTATATAATGCAATCTGCTGAGCAAAGACATTCTTACCTTGTTCTAATGCCCCAGGACATCTTATCACCTTCCATGTGCTCAAAGTTTATGAAAATCAATATACATGTTGATCATATACTTACACACACACACACACACACATATGTACAAACATGCCTATACTAATGACCTTTTTTTAAAAAGTCACAAAACCGAGTCATGTGAAACCTACACCAAACATAAGATAACAATAAGATTTCCAGCACTTTCCCTCTCTCTAGACATACATAAAAACAGAGAGCTTTGACTGGATGGTCTCTGGGGAAAAAAAAGGCAAGCACAAATGCCTCATCTTCTAACCTCCCTCATGAGCCAATTAGTGGAAAGCATCAGAAGTAGAACAATGTACACTGCTTTTGCAGGGACAAATTACAGCAGCCCTTACCTTTTAGTCAGAGTAAGTGACAGATAACAGGCATAATAAACTCAGCAGGCAGGGCTGCGGGTCCGCATTTCTCAGTGGACTCCTCCAGCAGTCCCAAAAGAAAGGCACATAAAAACCCCAGCCTGCCTGCTCCATTCTTCGGTAACTGAGATATCCACTACCACGGTAACCAGAAAAGGCAGAAAGAACTACCAATCTTAGCTTCTTAAAAAGCTTTGTGCTGAGGGAAAAAGAGAGAGGGAGAGAAAAGGAGAGGGAGAGAGAAGGGGGGGGGGAGGGAACAGAATAATTACTTTGACTGAGACTATCCAGCCAAATGCACACACAGCACAAGATTTTTTTTTTTAAAGTTTGGATCTCCCCACTTACAAGATCCAGAAAGAATCTCCCTCTGGAGACTGGGGGGAATAATAAGAAAGGGCAGAGGGAGAGGGAAAGGGAGGAGAGAGAGTGAGCAGAGCCCAGGCTTGTGGTGGGGGAAGGGGAGCCAGGAAAGGGCTGCTTGCAGGGGCTAGGCTCTGGAGGGAAGAGTGAGGATGTGACATACATATGGAATGAGCATTAGAACAATGCGGACTGAATCGCCAAGACCCTGCCCTCTGGGCAGCAGTTTTCAAAACACAGCTTTGCAGGAAAGGGGGTAAAGGGGAGAAAGGGAACTGAAAACACAAAACAAGCTAATTGAAATAAGCAACTGGATGCAAAATGAGTTGCCAAAATCTGCGTGGTTGCCTCAGCAGTTTTCCAGCATCTCAGACAGATGCACAGCCTGTGTTTTTTTTGTTATTTTTCCTTGCTAGAGAGCTCCAGGTCCCAGGGGTTTAGAATTCCAGAGGACCCAATTAACACCACACTTGGCTAACTCCTTGGTCAGATCAATATGAAATAAGCTGCCTTTTAGAATCACCATAAATTTTTTTTAAAAAAAGGCCTAGAAATTGAGACTGCTGTTTTCTTATTTCCCCTACAGAGTGACAACCCAAAGTCTTGGTTGGGGGCAGGGAGGAGCAGCGTCACAGACACATAACCCCAAGAAGAACTAAGGTGTGATCCACTTCAATATATTAAAAGGACCTGAAGCGTACACAATGATTTTTAACAGGTAACTCAAAAGCACCTCTCACATACCAGGTCTTCTAATTATCCTTAAATTGTCATATCTACTACTCTGGGCAAAAGAAGTTAGCTCAGGCTAGATCAGGATTTGAACTCAAGTCTTCACAGCCTAACAGTAGCATTATGGCACAAGATAAGTGTACCAAAATTTAAAAAACAGTTTGTCTCAAATATGACCTAGTCCAAAGACTTGTAAGAATTGATTCAGAGTAAAGTAAGAGGAACCAGGAGAACAATATAGGCGACATCTGCAATAATGTAAATGAAACCAACACTAAGAGGAGGCCAAGGATGATTAATTATAATGACCAAACTCGGTCCAGGAAAATAGATGGGGACAGATAACCTCTTCTTCTTCCTCCTCCTCTTCCTCCTCCTCCCCCCCCCATCAGAAATGGATAGACATGCAGTCACACTTGGAGCATGCTATGCAACGTCTAACATGGGCCAGACACGGTCACGATGTGGGTTGGTTTTGCATTTTTTTTTCTTTTTTACAAGGAAGGTTTATAAGGGAGGGATATATTTAAAAAGGACTACAATGTACTAGCTAAAAGTGTCACTAAAACTTTTTTTAAACCCACACAGATAACCGCCCCACTCCCAGAATATTGCTTCCATTTCTATCCTCTTACTTTCCAAATCACGTTTTGTTTCACTTCGGGAGTGTACAAAGTGAATATACTTTGTACAAGTTCTATGACATCCTCCACTACAAACACAACAAACTTACTCGAGCTGAACTCTTTTTCCCCAAACTAATACCACCAACAAGTGAGGCTTACAATGTTCATCTTTTTATCTGGTAGTATATATTTTATTTCTGTCTAAATGAGACCTGATTAAAGAGGCTCTCTCTCAACATATGCCCTTTCCTTCTACAATAGAAGCTTACATACACATACAAACTACCAATTATAGAAACAAATGACAACAAAACTCACCCTCAAAAATAATTAGGAGACCAGAGGTCAGCTTCTACATCAGTGCCCCATGTTTCTGATATGCAGTTATAGTTTTCTGATTTCAAATGACCTAAATGTGCAGTCTGAAGAAAAAAAAAAAGATGAAATGCAAGCAGTAAGTTCAGGGTTTACAGCTGGCTAAAATCCCTTCTGTTAAATTACTGGGGATCACATTTCCATAAGAATAAGCTCAATTTAAAATGTTCATAAAGAAAGAGATCATTAATTCCCCAAGTGCTGGGAAAGGTCTTGAAGAGTTAAATCAATGAATACAAAAACCTATGTTTAAACAATTTTCAGGTTATGACATAAGCCAAGAGGGAAAATAAAATGGGAATAATGAGAGGATTGAAGGTCTGTCAACATCAACTCCAAATTTCATGCTGCTTGGCTCAGCTCTGTATGTTATTTAACACAGATTTCTACATTTGGGTTATTTTCCTCCTCTTGTGGGGTCTTTCGGTTCTGAAATCTCCAGCTTCTCAGCCACGACTCCCTTTCTAACCCTGGGCTATGGTCTTGTCAGATGTACCTACCTAGAAGGTAAAAAAAAGAGGCTAGGGCTCAAATGGTGTCCCTCCAAGCCATGCAGTCCAGGAAAGTGGTGTTTCCAGGGGCCAAATTCAAGTCACTTCCTAAGCAATTATGCTTCTAAAATGCAACAGTACTCCATGGACTGTGATCTCTTGGATGAAGTAAAATTAGAACGCTGACAGAATGTGTCAATGTGTCCCAAGGATGCTTTCCTTGTATTTTTATCCTCTTCTTCAGCCCCTACTTAGGCTCCCACTTCCCAGGATGTTAGGCCAACTGCAACTAAAGGGGATGGAGCATGTGAAGTCCCTTATTTCATTTCCAGCTGGATGTTTTGTTCTCTTTTGCTGACTTAAAACATAAAGCAATATGCAAGCAGTAGACTTTCAACTTTACTCCACTGAATTCTTTTGTATGGGGTTGGTTCAAGGAAGGCATTCTCATTAGTTGAATTAGTTCAATGAAGCTTCCTGGTAGGGAAATCTCCTACGGGAAGATATTAGGTTTTATTGGGGTGAAGGAAGGCCCATTGTTCAACCTGGTAATGTAGCATTACAACTACAAAGCCAGAATAAGCTGTTTGTGTGAGTTAGGCAGGGTTTGAAAATTGTATCTGAAAATGTCCACTAAAATTGATTTTAAAATATACTTTGAAGCATCACTGTATATGCCTGTGACATAGTTCTGGATTTGGAGCCAAGAAAAGTTGAATTTAAATCTTGCTTCATGTTCTTACTTGCCCTTATAAGCTTTACCTATGAAATAAGTATAATAATACCATTTACTTATAGAGTTGTTGTAAGGATTAAATGAGATAATGCATGTAAAGTACTTTACGAAACTCTAAGTGCAACATAAATATTATATATCATCATCATTATTATCATTACTAATGGAGAGGAAAATTTCTGGCATTAAAAAAATAACGTTAAGGTAACCTATGTTGTGCTACCATGCACAGTATATACCAGGCGATAGGCTTTTTTTTTACCTACCACTAATCCTAGGAAGATATTTAAAGCAGCAAGTGCATGGGGGGGGGGGGGCGCGGCAGTGTCCACCCGTGCAAGTACCAAGGGAAGAGGGAAAGCATGGAGAAGGAATCTTATCTGACAGTACAAGGAGAAACTTAACAGTAAGTAAGTAAGGGCATATCATCTATGTTTTCTTACATCCTTTTTCAGGAAGAAATGTCAAAGGCATGACTTCTAGTCAACATCTACTCATTAACCTTGTCAAACTGATATATGAGAAGCAAAGATTTAAAATGCACATGTACAAGAGAAAAGCAAGGGCAGGTGGCTGAAGATGAATACAAAAGAGCAGCATAGTCTGGTCAAAATAACTAAAATTCAGTATTAGCAGGGGCTTACAAGAAAAAAAATGTTGGGGATGACACAAATGGGCTCTTCTTTTCAAATTATGTTGGGGGCAAGAGGAAGTCTGAAGAAGGGATAGGATCTATGCCTGATGGAGACGAGAATATGAAAATAAATCAAAGAGGAAGGAGAGATACAGAGATAGAGGAGGAGAGAAGGAAGGAGGGATAGGGAGGAAGAGAAATAGAGGGAGAGAGGGAGGGAAAGAAAGGGAAGAAGAAATGGAGACAGAGGTAGGGGAAAAAGAGACAGAGAGACAAAAAAGAGGAGGGAGGGACAGAGAGGCAGGGGGAGAGAGGGAGAGAGAGAGAGAGGGAGGGAGAGAGGGAGAGGGAGAGGGAGAGGGAGAGAGAGAGAGAGAGAGAGAGAGAGAGAGAGAGAGAGAGAGAGAGAGAGAGAGAGAGAGAGAGCGTACAGAGCAAAGTCCACATTCAAGGAAGGGGAAGGGGAAAGGAACAAGCATTTATTTAGCAACTACTATACGTCAGGGACTGTACTAAGCACCAAGAACCAAGACAAAGGAGGTAGTCCACAAGGCCTGATTCTCTTCAGTTTACTAATCTGGAGGTAACTGGTCACCCTGAAAGAGTCAAAGTAAAAGACACAAAAGCCAGATGACAAGTGGTTGAGAAGTGAAGAAAAAGTAAGGAAGCAGAGGCAGAGAGAGTACACACTGCTCTGTTTAGAAGTACAGCAGTAAAGGGGAGGAGAGAGAAGCCAAACCACGACAATTTAACCTCATTTCCTTTTCTGGCAGGGTTACCAAGTGAATGCCACAAACACTGTAAAACTGAATTCCAACAAGGCATCTGACAACATCTCTTATGATACTACTGTAGACAAGATAGAGATGTAGACGATCATTGTGTTGGTTCAGAACCAACGGGCCAAACCAATGCTATAAGTGTTGATCAGTCAAACAACACCAGTCCAAAAGGAATTCTCCAATAGAGTACCTCAGAGCTGTTCTTGGCCTTGTCCTAGCCAAAATTTTTATGAATGTTTAATGAAGGCACAGATGATATACTTATCAAATTCGCAGATAGTATGAAGTTGAGAAATAGGAAATACAATGATAGACTAGAGAATGAACGAACGAACGAACGAATGAATGAATGAATGAATGAATGAATGAATGACAAAAAAAATTCTTCTATGTGACAATCATTGTGCTAAAACACTGGGGATATACACAGAAAAAGCAATACAGTCCCACAGAAGTGAGAATTCAGCTGGAAGGTAGACTTAGAAATGCCTGGAAGTCCTAAGGCTTCAGCAATATGGAAGACAGCAAAGCCCAGGGGTACAAGGGGATCCAAAAGGATTCCAATGAGATGGAACTAGTAAAGTGAAATCTAACAGGGAGAAATGAAAAGTCCTATGTTTAGGTTTAAAATATTTCCAAATACAGGACAAGAAACACAAAACTAGAAAGTAATTCATTTGAAAAAAAGATTTAAGGAGTTTAGTAGAGTGGCATGCTCAACAGGAATGGGTCTAATGCGATAGCTAAAAAAATGTATATGCTTTTCTGCCACATTGATACAAGAATTATTTCCACAGCGATAAAGGAAGTTATTTGTTTAGTGAATGGAGCATTATTGGGCTTGGTAACGAGAACACCTAGGTTTAAAATCCTGTCTTTGACACTGAGGAGTTGTATGACCCACAGGCCACTCCTCAGGACTTACAATATTTGTTAATTCCTAGACATGGTAGGATGTTCTATGAAGGGAGTTCTCATACCAACATTCCCACACTGATAAAATAACAAATACTTTATGTTATTTGTCTAATGTAGATAGAGAAAGGAACACAGTGCTATACTCTGTCCTGACAAAACCACACGGAGTTCTGTGGCCTATATGACCACCACAGCAGAGAAATTAAAAGCTAGGACTCTTCCAGAGAAGCATGACTACATAAAACCAGGTTATATGAAGATCCTTTGAAAGATCTGGTGATCAGTCATAAGATCATAGCCTTAGTGCTTAACGGGACCTGAAGAACCATGTAGTCTCACTCCCTTATTCTCTAGATGAGAACAGATGTTTAGCCTGAGAATGGATGCCATTATGGGGGTTTGGGAAAGGGGGAGAAGTAATGATTTTTCTCTTCAAATATATGAAGGGCTATCATGGAATGAAGATCAGACTTATTCATCCTGGTATCAGACAGTAGAACAAAGACAAATGGGCAAAATTTGAAGGGAGAAGGGATTCTTTAAAAATAAGCTTCCTAACAACTGAAGCTTTTCAAAACTTAAATACCAGAATACTTGCAAGGAGCCAGGCCTTGACTTGGGGAGCCAAGCCAACAGCTGGGAAGAAGTCACTCATTCACGACTCAGAGAAAAACTACAGCAGAAATTAGCATGCAGGAACCCAGTTCTGTCCCCAGTTTCTGATTCAGTATGTGGGTGTTAGTTAAGGAAACAGCTCCTCAGAGAAAAAAGGCAGCTTGCAATATTCAGCAAACACTTTTCTATACAGCTGGAACACCTGTTCTACATGTAGCACTTCTTGGCTCAAAGGAGCGGGGAAAAATCCCTCCCCTTCCCTGGATGAATATGAATATAGACGAAAAGGCTAGGAAAAACCCACGACAAAGTTCATATACATTCCAGGTTGCTGTTGTGGTAATTCGTCCTTCGTTCTCAAAGAGGACCGTGACATCGGCAAGGTGATGCCATGACTTGCAAGTGAATTGGATTTAAGCGATGGAGGGCTGTGCAAAGTCATCAGTCTCACTTTCTCCTCCAGAGCCATCTGGGTCCAGTGTCAAGATATAGATTAGCATGACTGGAGATTTTGGCCCGGATGTAGTGAAGATCATGGCCTTTTTAAGCTAAAGTATTTACCAGGTCTCAGTTTGACTGAGGCAATACCCATTCAGTGATTAAGGCTAGATAACATGCTCTATAAATGCCTTTAGAAAAAAAAACAGTAAAATGCAAAAAAGATCATTTTGTCAAATCTGGTAAGATTGATTGAAACCTTTTCATAACCACAAAGTCACCAAATTATCTGATACTCATTATCCACTCCCATAATGAAAAACTCTCCAATTTATGCTTCCAATTGGTCGACAAAACTTTATTTGGGTTTCCCAC